CTGATTTGCAGTTTGTTTTCAGCTTAAAACTAATTTGCAAATAAGTTTTTTTTGCAGTTTTAACAATAAATTCATGGCATATTGCGTTCAAAGCCCGTTCGGGGGACTTCAGGCAACTTCAAAAAGCTTTTCCAGCTTGAAGAGCTAAATCACGTAACACGTTTTTTTCGCCGCACTCAATTAACTAAATATGGCTCGATGTAATTTGTTACTTTGATTCAAGGATGCGGTTGGGAAAACTATAAGCTACACTTTGCTCGCCTTCTGACTTTAAAAGGTATAATCTAACGTCAATTTTTTTCAGTTGTAATAAGTTAAACAACTTAAAATTACAATTTTGACTAACCAATTATAGTCCGTTTTTGTGCCAATAACACAAATTTTTTAGACTACCCGCATTGTTACAAGAAAAAAGAGTCACTTTGAATAATTTTTTAGAGGAGATGGCCGGGGAAGAAGTATCTGCTTGATGAAATTACTAGAAGTTTGAGAAAAAGGTAGATTAGGATTCCCTTGATTTGTAGTCTAATGCATGTTTAAAGCATTTTCTGCCAAAATTTTGAAACGAACTTTTTTTGATACACTTTATAGATAATTTTCTGCCGTTTCTAGAGTGACTCATTCTAACGTACTCTGCATTGCCCGCTCTTATGTGCACAATTTACAGAAAAACGAGACAAAAATCTGGATCTGAAAAAAGATCAAATTATTCATATTATTGAAAGCGTTTTACGATTTATTTTTTGTGCTAAAATTTTTTGATAGATGCTTTGCTTTAGTCATGTTTTGATACATTTTTTGACAAATGCTTTTGTCATGAGTTTGACAAGATTATAAACCGTGATAATGATATTGGGAAGGAAGTTTGATCTTAACGAAAATGAAATTAAGTGCAGACAAACATCATAAAACAGGAACCGATTATTTTTTTGCAAGGTAGTCTAAACAGGTATGAAAAAAATTAGTTACTGTTAACAAAAGGTCATTTAAGTTCCAACTGTTTTTGAAAATTCACTTTCAAACTTTCAATTAGTTTGCACATTTTTGAAAAAACATATATCAATAGTAATTTCAAAGCCGTTTTATATTTTGAAAAATAAAATTTATTTTTAATTAATTAATAATCGAATACCTTGAAGCGACTTTCCAATTGACATCTCTTATTTTCAGCTTTCATGAAATAGTCTTTGAGGCCATAACGACTTCTAATACTTTGATATCTTCTATCTCTCAAAAAAAGATTGTAGCAAAAATAAGAAATTTGCGAGCTTCTTTAATCAAAAACACAAATCAACAATGCTATTTCGTTGAAACTCTAAAGTTTTCTGTTCTTCAACTAACTATAGTTTGTATATTTGTTTTCGTGTAAGTTATTTTTCATTTTCAATTTTTTTTGTCGATTTCAATGCTAGTCCTTATGATTTTTAATTACAAAACGTTTATGGCAGATGAGATTTATGATTTTCGCCTGACTGCCGTTTAGATTATCCGAACAACTCTAGACTGGATAACTAAGCAAAATAGATGATAATTTTTTATATTAACTTTTATAGACTTAAGTATAGCGCTGCAACCCATTTCAAAAAACTAAAATCAGCTGCTAGCAATAATAAAAGATAGCAAACTGGATTTTGCAAAATATGAAAAACTAATTCTAAATAAAAGAAATTTGGAATTCAATCAAATATAATTTTGGACCAATTAGCATAACCTCATTTCGAAGCCCCCAAAAAAAATCTTTTCTTTTTGTGTTTTTTTAAATCACCCCCCACACAATTGATAATATACAAAATGATATATTTTGCATATAGCAAAGTTTTAATTAGAGCAAAGGGCATGCCTCAATAAAATATACGGATTAAATCTCCGATGAGGAAGTAATAGCTTGAACTATATTGCGCGTTAATTGTCCCAAATTGAATATGTTGGAAACTATTAAAATCCAATAACCATACAAAAGGTGATCACAGTTGAGATAGTTTTCATAAAATGAGCTCAGGACAACAATACGTTTCGAATGATATGTAAACAATTCCGTCAAAAATTGCTAGTTAAAAGTCGAATTTTGTCTGGAGAAAAAAGCCACCCCGAGCACAATTACTCCGCCGCTTTTTTCGAAAGTAGGAACAAAAAGGCTTCTTAAGAAGGAAAAATTGTCCAGAAAGTATTTCATCTCCAAAATGCATGTAAAAATGGAATGGCTCTGAAAAAAAATTTGATGAAAAACAAAACATTTCTAAGTTTTTAATACATGCATGTACTAAGGGGTTGTTTGTTTTAGGAAAGCCTATAAAGCGATGAAAGTTTGAAACAATTCAGGTTATTTCATAGAGGAAATCGATTTGCAAGAAGCTCATGTTTTACTTAGGCAAGCTATTAAAGCTATGAAAATTTGACACATTTCAAGATGTGTTCTAGACCGAAAGCTTTTGCAAAAAAGTAGTTATTCTAAAGCAAGCTGATCAAATTATAAGAATTTAAGTCAACTCAAAATGTTTCAAAGAGCAAAACATTTCGCAAAAAACTCAAGTTTTATTTAGACAAGATATTAAATCTACGCGGGCTAATCGAGCAATGATCCTTTGAAGTCATTTGAGTGCTTTCATACATTTGAGTTCGCTAAAAAGTTCAAGTTTTATTTAAGCAAGCTATTGAATTTGTAGAAACTTCCAAATTTTTTCTGCACATAAGTAATTCAATTTTGGACAACTAAAATTGAATTACTAAAGTGCAGAAATAAACTTGTACTAGATTTCAGAGAGCATATTACACGAGCGGCAAAACGAAGGTGAACATTCGACGAATTTCCGACTTTCATTTTCAAAAGTTGTTCACCCTAGAGCCACTCTTAGGAAAATTTGCGTGAAGCACAGTTCGTAAGGTCGGCAATAGAGCATACTCAGGACTAAAGTTGATTATGTGAGGTTTTTTAAAACTTCATGTGGCTTAAATAATAAATTGATTTGCAAAAAAAGATACTCAGTTAAGTGGAGTTTTTTTGTATATTTTGATAGTTCGTTGGTGCTAGTAAGCAGCGTTTGTTTCAAAAGCCTAAGTCTTTTTTTCAACCGGGTTAAAACAAATTTTGAAATCTGTGAAAGCTGTTTAATGATGTTATCAAATAGTTTGTGAAATTGGAAATTCATTTGAATACTTCAATTGTCATGCGACGTTATCAAGAGTCTTAAACAGTTTGTGTGAAAGTGGGCGAGTTCAAGGGGCAAGTTGGGGTGAATTATACATTTTGTGATATAAAACAAACAAGTGCCATCTTAATTTTATTCGTCTTTTACTTTTTTATTGCATTTTGTGACAACTGTACAGCATGCATTGAAATTGACAACTAATTGCTTGGCTAAAATTTTACTTAACATTTTTGAATTAACGGCAACCGATTAGCACCTGTTCGATTGATTTGGTAAATAAGAGTTTGTTTCTAATTTTTGTTTGGTTTTCTCATGTTCAAAAGCTACCGAGGAAATCTAAAAGAAGAGTGACAATTTTTATCGATATAAAATAGTGAGGCAATATTTTAAATTAGTTAGCTTCTAAAATCATATTTACGTTGAGTCGGATACGGGAAAAATCTATTGGGAAAAACATCAGAAACTTCTGGAGATTCCATTAGAAGCTTAACTAGCATGCTCATTACATTTCTTGTGCTGGGTACTGGCTAAAGAAGCTCAAGTGCCTTTATGATCCTGAGTTTTTCTGGGAGGACTTGAAAGTCGTGGTTGGTGTTTTTAATTAAATTATAAAGTTTGTCATTGAATTTTTTGCCATGAACGAGTTGCGAGAGTGGCATTTCTATAGATTGGTTGCACTCCTGTGGGATGATCATGGGGCAAGACTTTTCGGTGAGCAAATTGTTCGTATGGGGACAAATATATACATTTGTCGAACGGGATCTTAGTTCAATTTGTGTTGTGCAGGTTCGTGCCTTTGATGCAGTAAGTAATATTCAAAAAACAAAGTGATGTGTAATTTTTAGCCAGATAGCAATATTGTGGATTTTGTGAATGCAAACTATGAATAAAAGGATAACAAATGTGAGTGTGGTTTAGTTTGGTCTTCACATAAACTCTTGGGTACAATTCATATCTCATTCTTTGGGAGTGAAGAAACTAAAAGTCAGTTAAAAATTATTGATATGAGCGGCTATATCTATTCGCAAGCTATGAATCATTAGTGCATGATCGATTACATGATCTAGTTTTTTATTAGTGCAATGTATATCGAGTTTATACTTTTTCATATTTTTCAACAGATTTTTCTCCGTTAAGATAGAAAGTTCTTTGATTTCTTGAAATATCTAATGTAATCTTGTGTCTAGGTATTTGAGTAGCCTGCTGTTTCAACGAGTTTTCTCACGTTCTGATCTTTAGAGTGTCATTGAATTGTATCCATTTTAGTGACGAGTTCTTGAAATTGTTGTGTTCTGATTCGATGTTGTAAATGGGATTCTGAGTAAAATCTAATTGATTGGAAAACATTACTTAGATTTCTAGTTATTGCGCGAAAGCTTTCTGGTGAAAAAGTCGTTAGTGGTTGCATTAAAACTGGGTATGATGTGAAGAGATAATTTTTTTAAAATCTGGATTCAATTGTACTATGTTGTGGCTGCTTTTTGATCCCCATGGGACGACGGTATCCCAAAAACAAGTGCGTCGCTAGAATATGTCTACAAAATGAACTCTGTTTTTTTAACAAGTAGGAGTTCTTGTAAAAACTTGGTTTTCTTTGATTGATTTATCTCCAAAAACATGTAATGGTGATAGGTTTTTGTGCATGTTTATTATCAAAAGATGTTTTTTGTATTATTTAATTTATGAGCGGTTTCCTAGGAAGAGATACCCTGAATAAAAAAATTGGATCAAGTTAACATCGTTCCCCCCTAATAGACCAAGTTAAGATCCTCCACACCAGCGCTTAAATTAAATTAAATTTGCTAAGCGCTGCATGTAAAATGCACGATTCTGATTGGCTGAAAATTTCCAACTAAGAACCAAGTTTAGGGGAGATGGTGTTAACTTGGTCCAAAATTATTGCATTTCTGTTCAAATCAATTCCAGTAAGCACTCCTTTCTTCGCACACTTTGTGAACAAATTCAACGTGACCAGTTTTGATTTCATCTCTTCCACTGACGTCGACCCATGCCAACATTTTAGAGCAGTCTGAGAAGCTATCGGATTGGCCAATATCGCGTTTGCCCAGGTATTTTCCGGTTCCGTCGTGGAAATTGACAACTATTCTCCCAATCACGTTGCAAACTTCCATCTTCATTGCTTTCGTGGCAAAAAACTCTGAAAAATATTTCATTTCAGTCAGGAAATGATCGAGTGTTAAATAACGCTTCAATTGGCTCAAAAAAATTTTCATCTACGAAACGCGAAATTCGAGTGTTTTAGCTGAAATTACCTATAGCTTTTTTTGGTTGGTGCCTCGTCTAACCATAGTGCATGATTTGATGTTCAACATCCGTGCTAACGCTTTTTTGATAGTCTTCAATTTATTTGGAACTTTCGGCTCAATTCAAATTATTACTTTAAAATTACAACTTGGAAATGTATCGTAATAAGAAAAAATTATTTTTTTATGAAGTTCTCCGTCTTGGACACAACAAAAAAATGAGAACTGACTGAAGTTTGTTTTTTGCAAAAGCTGTGGACTGACTGAAGTATTGAATTTAAGTCCGGGGTGGCTTTCTCAAAGAGTAATTTCGGATAACGTACACCGTCTGTTCGTCGCGCCATCTTATTTTCGGCCGGACAGATTCGTGCAACTTCTTAGTCTATTACCGATCTTAATCTTACTCTTAGATCTCCTAGTCTCAATAGATCTAGTTTATACCGGTATTTGCGATATTAGTTATCAGGAACTGTTCTGAAGGAGAACGACTGTTTGCTAAATTATATTTATTCTGTTCTGTCGCTGAAATTCTAAAAATTTTCAGCCTTACAATTTATAGTAAGTTTTAGTCATGGATTGGTTAGTTCTAAGTATTTTACAGTGATAGCTATCAAGCATATAATTGGTTATATTGAATACTTGTTTTGAACTGCGGTTCCTGTACGTTTCTTGCAAGGGCTATGGACTTTATATTTATTTGGTTCAAAAACCTAAATAGTATTGTTAGATGTCTCCAACTTGTGGTGGTAGGAACTTTTACCGATTCGAAAAAAAACGATTAACAAGCAATTATAAACTGATGATCGCACCTTGAAGCTGGTCGTTATTTAACTCTGGAAGTTCGTCTCCGCAATCAACAGCCACCTCCCTATACCCATCTTGCTAAAAATCAGTTTGTGGTTATCCAGCCAATCAGAATAAAACCAATTTTTGGAAAGCTGGAATATAACGTTTTTTTTTTGCATGATTTCTTGTCGGGAACAACGATTTTGATGCTGCATCTATAAATTTTTTTTCTTTTTTCAATTTAAGTAAATTCAAAATAAAAAAAGCAGATAAATGATGGATCAGGTCCAATGAACCAAATTTAGTTAGTTTTTGTAATTCAGGGAAAGCAATAATTTTGATCAGTTTTTCAAAACTAAAAGATCAGCAAATGTCGAGAACTTACCTCAATGGGTAGCATTTTTTTCGAAGAAGCTAAAACAGAACAGTTATTGCGGAAATTTTCCAACTTCCATGAATTGCTTAAATTGTCAATCACAGTCATCTCGAACATGAATTTAAATTGAAACAATTTTAAATATTTAAACTCAAATATTTTTTTTTGTGGATGAGATATATATTTTCGGTATCGCCCTAACTATTACTTTTGGAGAATAACCAACTCCAAAAAGGGCTAAGCTAACTCAATGGCTCAAATCAATCAGTTTTTGTACCAGAAGCGAATCCTCCTTTTGCATGAGTCGGGCAGGGGGAGGGGTTGGAAAGTCTATAAAAGAGATCGTTTTTTTTTCTGAAACCTCGTTTTTTTGTTTTGTTTCAATCAGGCTTCTAAGGTACCTAGCTTAGCGTGGAAGTTTACCTGCTGGCTTGGCAAAATAATGTAAAATATTTAGACCCGGTGCTGATCTACGATTTCCTTGAGGGGGATGATTTTTCAAACAAAAATTTGAATATTTTGTCGTCTTTTCATAAGTCGACCAAATTGATTTTCCGATGTCCCAAAAATACAATTTCGAGGTCAAAACCGTGACGATGGTAGCAAAGGGCGTCAGCTGCCCTTGTTTTTTAATCGCCACTGGTTCTGACAACTAAAACAATTTTCATGGAAATTGTAAAAAAAAATGAAAAAACAAATGCTGGTTGCGCAAAAAAAAATCTTTTTTTTTGTTCATCACGACTTGGGTTAATTGCAGAATTCGATTCCAGTGTTGTTCTTGGTAGCCAGAAGCTGGTCGGTTTTGATATGTAAGATGACCGTTTTATTTCGATCTCAAGGCAGTGTTCTCCATTTGTGCGACTGTTCGCTTTTGGTCACACATTGATTTTGCAAATAGCAGCTGTTTTAAATGCATCTGTGTCATTTGATACGATGTGCTAGGATTCATCCATCGAGGAATCTCTTGGCCATGGGCGGTTCTTCAAAAAATATAGTTGTCGATAAATTAGGCATAAAACTTGTACAATTTTTGCATAATTTGTTTCTGTGATATACTACCTGACTGACTCGAGATAAAAACTAATACTGTAATTCCATAAAATTAAAGTTATCAATTTTCCTTTACTATTTTCTTTTAGTTCTGCTGTTATCAGCATAATTGAGCGCAGTTCTTTAGCTGCTAACCGAAGGTTTGCAACTTAGTGACCTTGGAAAAAGTTTAATTATAATAAGACATAGATATTTACATACATAAAAAAACGCCTCGAGGAAACGTTGCTGCTAGCGCAGTAGCGGGCAGTACCACAGGCCCTCTCAGCTGAAATATATATTTTTTACTACCTTAAGTAAATAACTTTACAATAACAATAGGAGTTTATTCTCAGTTTTCTAAAAAAAATGGGTTCTCTGTTTGAAATTTCAAATTATTGTCGCCCCATTGTCTGTTAATACTTGTCTAAGTCAATTCTCCAACATGGGTTCTTTGATATGCCCTCATCTAGATTTACATAGGCGAAATTTTTTTGGAACAGATGTCCCTCGAGCAGCCCCAGTCGCGTCTTTATAGGGTCTGTCGTTTCTCGTCTTGAAAACTGTTCGTATCCTTCGGTATTCTTGAAGTGCCACCATTAGTGGTGCCCCCTTGATAGTTCTTCCTCTAAGATCTCCTAAGATCGAGTGTTTTACGGAATCTCAGAACTGTTGAGGTTCCTTGCTTTTCGTTTGTCTGGAACTTCTCCTGACCCCGTGTCTTCCATACTGGAATAATCCGATGCGCTTGTTGAAAGATCAAATTTTTCATCCCTCTCGCCTGTTGCTTGTTTTCTCCCTTTAAGGTCGTCTGCTACTTTTTGGCCCCTCTTTTCAATACTTGATCGGGCAGGTTTTCCCACTCGGCTCGAGAAAAGTCACGAATTTGAAAAGTGTCCATTATGTCCTCTGGTATTGTGCACAAATCCACCTTCTTTAACTTTCTCCCCTTTTGTAATTTTCGAGGAGTTCAGCTCGATTGTTCTGTCTGTATCGTGTAGCTTGCTTGAATGATTAGCTATTTTGTCATCATTTCATTAACTCTAGTAAAATCAGCCTAACTGAAATGCAGAAATTCTCTGATAATAAGTTTAGTTTCGAGGTAGATTTGGACTTCGAAGTTTGATTGATTGACGATCGAAGCAAACCTTTTATTTGTCATGAAATTTATATCATCTGCGCATCATCTGATTCGAGTGCAAAACAGAATGCAAAGTGTTTTTAACTGCCTGTTGTAGGTGTTTAGGCACCATCCGAGAGTCTTAATGCTTGTCTTGGGTGTTTTGGCTGAAATGCATTGCTTGCTTTTCTTCTTTGGCACCTGTTCAACCGATCCAATTACTTTTGTGAAAAGGGGTCTACGCAAACTTTAGCAGATGCTCAGGACAAGGTTTGCTGTATCTTTTCGTAATTAAAATGATGAGCTGAATAATAACAAAGGTTTGATGTTGCCAAATTCTACAAAGCGCAGATAAAAAGTTTTTGACCCTAAAAACTAAACTTGAAAGAAGATATCTGGCAGTTTTGAGAGAAGTTATTCTGATCCTAAGCTGATTTGGAAAAAAAATGAATTTTATGTGTTTTTGGAACCATTCGTGATTTCTTTCTCTGTTGACCAATGTTTGTCACGATCAACCGATATAAGCTCGTAAGTTTGTTTTTGACCATATGAGTGTAAATAGATAAATTCAGCAAAGTCGATGTTCAATTTGTGACGGTTTTGCGTAGGGGGGTTTCGGGGAGGGCGTTGGTGCAGCAGCCCTTTCCTCAGGTGTTCGACCCCTGACCAAACAAAGAATCGTCCCTTTGATACCCCTTGAATAAGAAGGGGAATGCTCGCTTGTCAAAGAACTTTTTTTCGTGATCTCCGTAAAACTTTTTTATTGCATCAAAATTTTTCCTGTGGTGCAACAAAATGTTGCACCAGTTTCAAAAACTTGCCCCTTGCCTTGGCTATGCAAAATCTGGGCCACAAAAAATAGGATTCTTGAACAAAATGTGAATAAACATTTCAAGCAAACAGCAAAAATAAAATAAAGTTAGTCTGACGTTTTTTAGAAACTTAAGTGACAAGAAACTCACAAGAGGGTAGAGACCACTTGCTCTCTCCTCCAAATTTCACTCCCAAAAACTGCAACAGGGGCTTCGACTGTTTCTTCACCACGTTACCACTTCCATCTCTCTTCCAACGAGTGATTATTGGGATTACTAGAAAAAAAAACAGTTTTATGTCGAACGCACTCAGCAGTTATTCAAATTAGTTCACTTTTCGTGTATTGATTTAGTTTATATTTTTTTAAAATGTTTTTATGTATGCACATTCTATAGTTAGTGAGCATGGTTCATCATTTATACATGTACTCGTAACAAAATATTTTGGGCTTATTTTGTTTTCAAAACTCAAAAGTTAATGCTGATGAGTTTTTTTTTTGTTTGAGGTAATCTTTTAACAAGCGATATGAAAAATCAATTGTCGTGTATAAATCCTAGACGAAGAATAAAGCTGCTACCACAGAAAAAATTGATGTGCTCGAATTATAAATTGATCGTCTGGGTCGACCGAATGTCCACTTTTCAAACCAAAATCAATGGGCCGACAAAAGTTTCGATTCACCAGTGTCGATACATTAGTCAAACAGGGATATTACATAATAAAAATTAGGCATAAAACAATCAATTTTTTGGTATTTTCTACGCTGTAGTTGCTGCAAATAAGCAAGTATCAAAATCATTAAAACTCATATTTTTGACACTGAAACAGCAGCAAAAAAAATCAGAATTTCAAAATTCATTTGAACACAAAATTCAACTTCGAAACGAAAGTACACAGAGGTTCCATTTAAGGTTCCCGCGGCAGAGAAGAAAGGTTCTTTCAATGAAATCATCTATCTGAAACTATGTGCTAGTGATTTAGAAATTAATAATATCTAAAAAAACAAGAATAGCCGGTTATTGTGCAAGTAGCACAGCCGACCATAGTCTTCGAAACGCAAAAAAAAAATCTTTTAAATTAGTGTTTTTTCTGCTTGGTGCTATAAAAGGATCTGAACGAAAAACTGGAACCAAGAAATAATCGGCAGTCCTTGTAAAATAGGCAAATTGGACAACACTTGTCTCTTTTCCAGTCCCCCCTTTCAAATTCATTTTTGAAAAGCTTATTCAACGTTGTCATAATGCAACGAAATTTGGCGTGGTGAACAAATCGACAATTGTGAACAGATTTGTTCTTTTTTCTTTACAGCGTAGTATCACGGATTTAGCCGTAATATCACGTAAAGCAAACGTAGAACTCGGTAATTTGAAAGGGGGAAAGGAAAAGAAAGCAACATTTGTGTAGAAAAATGACAAAAATACAAAAAAATATCGTTAAAAAAGTTCGAAAAAATGATGTTTTTAATTCTGAAATGGCGCTAACAAAATTCAGAAAAACAATTGTATCGGTAAAACCAAGTTTGCACGGTCTAAATTAAGCAAAAAAAAATCTATTGTAAGCTTTCTTGCTTGCAATGTTTGCTCGAACTTAGGTTAAAAATTAAACCTGTTTTTCTCAAAACTGGGACAATTTTTTGTAGATTTTTTAACGTCGTTCGAATCACGACTGAAAATTTTTTGATAATATATCACTCAATCCATTCCCATAATTATTTGTGGTACCTGATTTTGACTGGAAAACGAAAAGAAAAAGAAGCAAGTAGCACAGAATGTTCTGACCATTTTCATTTAAAATATATAATTAAATTAAATTAGGCATGATCGAAAAAATTTGTTTTCAAAATTGAATAAACAACAAAAAATGAAACGTTTTGTTTTTTTTCTACAGCTTTTATTTTTTTCAACATCTTTATTGTCAAATAAGCTCTACAATAAATATTTAAAACTAGTTTTTCATGAAAAACATCAAGTTTTTTGAGCTTAAAATCACAAAAAAAAGCTAAATTCCATATAACGAGTTTTATCGATCGCATTTTATACTCATTATGCAACGACAGGACCACCTTCGATTTGAGATAGAGTTTCAGTCCCGGAATGAGCTGAAGGAGCCATCATTGGTGTTTTGGTAGTCTCTGCTTTTTCAGCATCTTCAGAAACTCTCGTTGTCTCGTCAGTTTCAGAATCTTCACTACTTTCGTCAATAACAGCGAGCTAAAACACGAAAACTATTCGTCACTAATAGCATATCGAGTTTACAAAAAATATATATGCTATATCATCTGCTTAAGCGTAATCATGTTAAATCTGAATGGTTGCATCGATTGCTTCAATCACATTCAGTTGCTGCAAGTTTCAAATTTAGTTCTGATTTAAAGTTAGCAAATGCCTCTGAAATATTTGGATTTGTGTCATATTTGATAGATTCCTGACATTTAACGCGGTATTGGTTAATGGAAAAGAACAAAAATTCAAGCTATGAATTTAACACTAAGGAAAATTGAGACTGTAAAATTAGACCAGTGCTGTAAAATCATCGGAAATGAAAAAACTAAGAGCAAGGCGACAATTCTCCGAATGCGACAAAGACTTTCCTTTTTTTCGAAAAATTCATCATTTATTAAAAAGGAACACCACTTCACAGACCTTAAAACACAGTTGAAACATTGAGGGCTTTGACTTGATATGATCATTCTTGTTGTTCCGACTTTCGATACGACAAATTCAGACAAATTTCGGCTTTTTAACTAGCCATTTCTTACGGATTTTTTTATCATTCAAAAGGTATTGTTGTCTTGAGCTTAAACTTGAAACGATATTTCACCTGTGACCTTTTTTTAAAAAAATTACGGGGGTTTAAAGTTTGCAATTTTTTCCAACTTGGCACAATTAACGCGCGATTTAATTCGCGGTATTAACGCATAAGCGGAGGTTTAATCAGTTTTAAAAATCGTTTCAAATTGGTTAAAGGATGCTTATTTGTCATAATTGATTTGTTACAAGGAGCAAAATCTATTCTCTTGTTTTTTATATGGCGTGTGGGGGGGGGGGTTGATTTTCATAGAAAAAATAACAAATTTTAGAAAAAAATTTTCAGTTTATTTTATTACATTTAATTTGTTAATGATATTTATGTTATTTCTGCTCCATAAACCTTAAAGTTCAGTCAAAACATTTAGTGCTTCGCATTAATAAGGGCAGTTTTGCTTACCTTTCCGTCCGAAGAAGTAGCTTCTTTTCTTTTGGCTAATATAAATTCTGTATTTTCATATAAGTGGTCATTTGACTCCATACTGAAAGTTTTATAGGTCATTCGCTTTTAGCAGCTTTTTGTATGTAGTTTTTGGGTAAAGCTTGCGTCAAATGTTGAGTGATTTAATGATCAAAGTGCGCAAATATATTTCTTTTTGACAAATACAGTCATTTAATGGGTTGATTAACAGTCTTTTACCTACAATTAAAGCGTTTTATTTTCACCATCTCAAGCAAGCAAACTTCAATTTACAATACGCGACCGGCCAACTTTTCATGAAAACGCTACAGAATTTGAAGGTTTTACTGGAGATAAAATTTTGCGCTTTTGGTCCATATACGATTTTAAAAACCATAAACTTGCAGCGTTTTGAATTTGATATTGCAAGTATCTGATTTTTTTCGGAACGGTTTTCAAAAAATTCTTGTTGTTTAGATCTAAGACTCTTGTGTGACTCAGAACATATACATGCAAATTAAGCTCGGTAAAGTTTAGACTAGACGAGATGTTTTTCTTACAATAACTCATATCGAAACCGTTTTCGATGAAAAATCGCCAGAGGCAAGCCATCTGGCTCCAATGTCCAGAGAATTAAAAACGAAGAGAATGTGTTGCTGTTAAAGACAAATGTGAAGAAATAGAAATGCATTTATCAGGAATATCAAAGCATTGACTCGAAAAAACTCGCAGTTTTAGTTTAATTGCACGCAGATAAAATGTAGATATCAGAAAAAGTTCATTTGATAAATATGTGGGATGGAATGAAGTGAAATTATGTAATTAAATCGAAATAAAGTGTCAATGAGATGTATCTGATAAAAAACGGGAATTTTCCAAGGATAAAAATAGATTGATGAGAGCGGAACAAAGAAATTCAAAAACAAAGGCTTGAGTGGAGTGGAAAAATCTTGGGCAACAAAAAGAACCAAAAAAACCTCGGATGTTCAATATATTGGTGTACTAGAAAAAGGGGTGACTCTAATCTATGATCTTCTCAAGGAAGGTGGGGCGGTTTTTCAAAATAATTCAGAAAAACTAATCCATAATATTGTAGGACCCGAAAAAAATGCAGTTTGATCACGTTCTTAAAAAGTCAATCAAAAATCTCTCAGTTTTTTCATTTAAAAAAAAGATCAAAAATCGTTTAAACGCTCAGTCTACAGCAAAGTTTTGGGCGTTATTGTCTAAAAAACCATTCGAATCTTGATTGAAGATGGGCGGAAAATCTCGACTCGGGCTTCTATCCTCGTTAAGATCCGTCTCTTGTTCTACTGAAGTGGACTAGCATACCAACATTGGTTCTACAGGCGGAGCAGCATCACTTCAATCATTTTATGAAATTCCAATCGTTTTTAGTGGTATTTAATCTGGGAGTACTTTACTCGCATTGACATCGGCCATGGCGCGGGAAAGTTATCTGTTCGTTCGCTGGATTATTTTAAGACCAGAAACAGGAAAACTACCAATGGATGCTCTCGTCTGGTATAAGTCATTTATTCGCGATCAATCTAATTAGCATTACGAGGCCAAACTGTGTACTGGATAGGCGCACAATTTTGTGTGTGTATGTTCCTGGGTTCCACAGACAAGTTTTAGAACATGTTTCAAAATGTAAGCGGATTCCACTCACAAAATTTCAGTGGATTCCACGTACAAATGCCTGGAACGTAAATTTTGTCGGCAACGAGCGAATGTAAATAGTTGTTCCGGATTCCGTAAATTTTAGCGGATTTTGCAAATGTAAGTGAATTCCGTAAATTTCTGCGGATTCCACTTACAATTTGCGGTTTCTGCTTACAATTTGCGGAATCTGCTTACAAATTGCGGATTCCGATTACAATTTGCGGATTCCACTTACAGTTGCGGATTCCGCGACAGCTTAATTTACTAACCTCAAATATCATTATTTGTTTATGGATTCCACAAACTGGTTCCGGATTCCACACATGAAGTTGCCTGTTTTTGGAGCGATTTTGAGCAAGACAGTATTTTAGCTACGTGTCCGTGGAATTCAAAACAGCAGAGAAGATAAAAAAAAAATAGCAATGTTGCTGATTCCGTGACAAATTTGATTTTCACCTGTTGCGGAATCCACTTACAATTCACAAAATGCACAGTTTGGCCTCGTAATAGCATCTCTCATGAGTTTTCAATGTACATAAATGGGCTTTTTAATAGGTCTTCACGTTTTTAGTGGTCTTTGTTCAGGGATTGCTTTACTCGCATTGACAGCGGCCATGATCACAGAAAAACAATCTGTTCGCCCGCTTGATAACTTTTAAGACTAGAAACATGAAAACTACCAATGGATGTTTTCTTCTGGCCATGTATATGTGTTCGTCATTTATCCGTGATCAATTTAGTCATCTTACGTCTCAAAGTCTCTTTTTGTTAGCGCATCAGATGAGGTCTAGATAATGAGTAACACAAAATGATAACCAATCTACAGCAAATAGTAAATATATAGTTCAGATTCAATTAAAAGAGTTTTTGTGCTAGCAGTCACTGGGATAAATCTTTTTATGAACTAACCCGTACTTTGCAAAAACTCAAAAATAAGATATATTCTGCTTGAAAGCTCACCTTTTTCAGACTTTGTGCCTATATGATCCAGGTTTCGTTTGAACATTAGCAGCTTTGTCTCAGTTCTGAGACTGAAAAGGAACTCTTCACAATCCAGGACTGCGCATGACCAGAACCAGAACTGATCACACATGGGGCTAGCAAGCATGGTTCATGGTTCAGGCCTTGTTCAGGACTGGATCAAGCCTCCTATAAAACAAAACAGAAGTATTGAGAGGCACGATTTTATCAAATTTTTTAGAGCTGAACTGCTTAGTTCAGTTCAATAATAGCCAAAAAAAGTCGTAATAAAGGTGAAAAAATTGTACCATAAAACTTTTCCAGACATGAATATGTCTTATCAAGACCTGAAGATGTCTGATCCAAAAGCGACCAACTCTATTCCTGCTCTTCAGTGAAAAGTTTTGGATTGAAAAACGATTTGTCAAGAAAACTGTGAGAACTTAAAGTGAAACAAGACTGCTCGTATCAGGGCGAAGCCCTGAATGTTCCGACTGCATTTTAAGGTTTATGGAGCAGCAGTAAAAGCCTAAAAAAATTAAATGAAATAAAATAAAATGAAAAAAATTTTTTGTGAAAATCATCCCCCACACGCCATATAAAGTACAAAAAGAGAGATTTCGTTCCTTGTAACAAATCAATTATGGCAAATAAGCTTCGTTCAACCAATTTGGAACGATTTATAAGACTGATTAAATCTCCGCTTACGCGTTAATAGCGCGAATTATATCGCGCGTTAATTGTCCCAAATTGGTCAAAATGTCAAAATGGCCAAAATGGCAATCTTTAAACCCTCATAACTCTACGAAAAATGATCACAGGTGAAATATCTTTTCAAATTTAAGCTCAGGACAACAATACCTTTTGAATGATATAAAAAAATTCCGTCAAAAATGGCTAGTTAAAAAGTCGAAATTTGTCTGAAGAAAAAAAACCCACCCCGAGCACAAATATTCCGTTACTTTCGTATCGAAAGTCGGAACAATAATCACCACATGGACAAAAATATCTGAGTCAATTTTTTCATTGTGTTTTGTTTGCAAAATCAAAATTGGAAAAAGATCTAAAAATCACGGGTGCTGTCAACTGATTTTCATTAATACAAGTTATCTATTGGTCTTAAAAATCATAAGAAGTCTCGAAGCGCGAGAGTTTTTCTCGGAAAGCTAAAAAAAACTGGAAAATTCTCCGAAGTATAGATCATTGAAGACAGACACTAATTTTGTGGAACTAAAAAAGCGTAAATAGGGATGGCTAACCAGTTATGAAGCTGTTGATGACTCCATACACCTTGTTTGCTTCCCTATGAACAAAACAAACCGGCACAAGGACATTTAGGGCCAGGAGCTGATAAGAGTTGAAGACTTATGGATCAAGAAGACTTATTGAAAGCTTATTTAAAACCAAAAAAAGCTTATGGATCAAGAGCCAGTACAAGAACATGACAGGTACATAATATCAAACGATGAAGACTCGAAGAGCTCAGTGTAGGTGCTTGATATATGGCTGTAAGTCTATTCTGTTAATTTTGCTGTAACTACCTGAAAATTGGATGAATCAAATGAGTTATAACCAACGTGGTTAACTCATAGAGTAATTTCGGATAGGGTACACCGTCTGCTCGTCACGCTATCTTATTTTCGGCCGGATAGATTCGTGCAACTTCTTAGTCTAATACCGATCCTAATCTTACTCTTATACTTTCTAGTCTCAGGGTGTTTAACTAGTCTCTGCTAGGCTCAATAGATCTAGGGTATACTGGTTTATTGCGGCTGCTGAAGTTCTCTTGGAGAGGCAACTAATTTCTAAGTTAAATTCAAATCTCTCTGGTGCTGAAATTACAAGTAATTTCAGCACTTACAAATAAGTGGGTTGTTAGATAGATGGATTCTGATTGGTTAATATTAAATACTTTACTGTGGTAAAATATCCAATTTATCCAATTATAAAACATAGTTTAGATCAGGTTCCACCCATCCGGGTTTTACAGAGTTTTTAGAATTATCTTTCTGCAATTCAAAGGATGGATGATGAACGTTGGTATTTGGCGAACATCATATTCTTGTCCGGTTCCTCTTGTTAAAGAAGTTCCAGGACGCTGGAGTTAGGAACATCAATCGTTGTGTCGTCTTGTGACAACGACTGGGTTCCCCAATGAAATCAATCTGATTTCAAAATGGTTTGCTATGACGGGTTTTTCTGTATTATGTAGAGAACTTGTTTTGTGTTCAACCTCGTCTGGGAATGGCATAGAGATCGTGTGTGGAAGGGATGCCTCGTAACTCGGATCTGCACGTATACTTGAACATCGAGGTGGTCATTGGTCTAGTTCAATGAAGTCCTTTTCTGCGAAGTCAAGTCGTACTCTAAATCCTTTGATTTGTGATTGTGGACGGCTTATCGGTTATGGTTAGCCATTCTTGTTCGAGTGTGATGGAATCATTTTGTCTTTGGACTTTCGTCTTTGTTGTTGTGTGTTGATCTATATACTGCAAGGTATAATTTACATTTTATAAAATTTTA